AATGGCAGTGAACAACATAACTATCAAAAACATTGACTATATGTGTGTATACAGAACTTGATTTCCCCTTAAGAATGAGCAATTAAGATTAGGGTCAGCTGAAGTAAAATAAAAAGGTGCTAAAACTAGATCAAAGTGCAGATTTGTAGATGTCATAGAGGACTTCTGCCCCTGGAATCTTGGAGAATTTAGAATACTTAGAGAGTGTTCTGATGTGCTAACTCTCATAAAAGCTCGATTTGAAAATTTGTGGGTGGGCAGTGGGCATGCTTTTTCATTTAGATGTCTAAAAAAATGAAAGATTTCAAATGCAACAGAAATTAAGATCCTTCGGATTATAAAGCCTAATTAGGATAGAAATGTTTCATATCAAATATAAATTCACTAAAAGTACCATAAAACCTACAGAAATATATGCTAAATAATACTCAATTCTTTGATTACAGAAAATAGACGTATTTTTGAGAATAAACCAGACCATTTAAAAGTAAAAACAACCCAGCTCACAGCAAACCTCAGAACTATAATTATCATATATCATTTACTTTGAGAATATCTAATTCTTTTCTACATGTAAAACATGTGAGAGAATGCAAGACAATAATTACTAAGCATGGATGTCTGTTTATATTCAAATGCCTGGAACTACTCACTGTGAAAGTTGAGGAGGTACACTTTGGATTTTGTTGTCACATAACACCAAGTAATTTAGAGAAGGCAGATTTGCTAATTCTGGTGGGATTTCTTTAATGAAATTTCCTCCAAGATATAAACACTCTAACCTGCAAAAACAAAGAAAACCAAAAAGTAAATAAATAAAAGCTGAAAAAGATATACCATTGTTTCTACTACAATAAACACATTTCATCTACTCATTCAGCAAATGTTTTACTTAAGATTTGCTATGTGCTATCCAGTCTCTAGATAAATAATGCAATTTTCAGGGAGCTTATATTATAGCTAAGCAGACAAGACAGATCGATGTTAGATAATATTAAAATAAAACACAAAACAACGCCAAAAATAGACATTACAATACCAAAATAAGAGGGACAAACCATAAATGATATTAGGAGTTGAATGAAAAGGAATCTAAAAGTTTTAAAAGGCCACAGTAGTTCTGAATGGAAAAGGCTTCCCCAAAGGGTTGTGACTTTAGCTGGGCTATGGATTTAGTCTATTTAGATGGGAAGAAAGAGTACACTTCAGGTTGGAGGAGAGGGCTTATAAGGCACAATGAGTATGCCTTTTAATGGAAGAGAATTCATCTTGAGGAATCAAAGATAGGCTTGCAGAGAGACCAGATTATAACAACCCTGAATTCCATGGTAGTATGCTTGGATCTGATGCACTGACAGGCAATGGGAAAACCACTAACTTGTTTTTGAATACACCGTAAAACTAGGAAGTCTCTACATTTCTTCCTTGCTCTTACTATAGCAAATATATTCTTTAGAGGCTGTGTCAATTGTCCACTACCATAAAATCAAAGTTCCAGGTAAGTATACTGTTTTCTAACAATAGGTTAACATTTTAGACATGACATGTATTGCACCAAAATAGAAAAAAATAGTACTCTTTAGTGATTACTGTTGAAAGGCTTCCTCTAAAAGATTTTTGCAAGGGTAGCAGGATCAGTTCTTACAATATATATATAAATAAATAAAATGTATACAAACACATAGAGACTTTCCCCCTAATACTGTATTACTTTTATCTTCCTGTTAAACCTGCTAACTTAGTAGAACTATTGTTCTTTCAAAACACCTTTAAATGTGGGAGAAAACAGTCTACTAAAGTGTTATTCAAACTTCCATGGTAAGAATTCCCTATGATAGTTTTAAGGCTATGAAGTCCAGGGTCCATCCAGATACGCTAAATCAGTCTTCCTCTTGGATTGCCTGTGAAGTGGTAGATTTTAAAGTATAAGATGTAATTTTAACAGATAAAGCCAAGTTACGTTTTAGAGCCATGGCTGTTTACAAATCCATAATTAGAATTTAAGAGCACTCCTTAACCTTCAACTTTGCCAACACCTAATATTATCACCACCGTTTATTTCATTACTATTTGATGGCATAAAAAATGGTACCATTCTGTTTTTTTTTTTTAAATCTGCAAATCTGTAGGTCACTTTTAGTGAAGTTTAGCATCCTTTTATGGTCTTAGACATTTGTATATCTTCAGAGAATTACCTGCTCATATCATTTACCTATTTTTCTCATGAATCATGCAGCTTTATCTCATTAATTTGTTGGGAGCTCTGCTGTTGTTAAATATATATATTCTGCATAACTTTGCTCATTTGTGGCCTTGAGCATGGTCTATTTTCGTTCATGTGTTATATGTACAAAAAGAACATATAGCTATTATGACTGACCTCATTAACTGAGCACTTTTTTTAAAAATAGTTTCTTTGATTATTTTGCCTTCTTGCCTTGGTGGTTTGTCTCCTACTATGAACATGATTTTCCTTCTTTCCTTCAGAGTTCTGTCAATAATCGTTGCTCTCTTTCCCATTAACATATAGAAGTTATATTGCAGATACATTCAAACTCATGACTGCTAAGAACTTGCTAAAGTGTGCCTTAATTTATATGAAGCATTTCTATTTGTTCTCTTTCTTTCTCTCTCTCTTTATTTCTTTCTTTCTTTCTTTTTCGAGACAGAGTCTGTCACCCAGGCAGGAGTGCACTGCCATGATCTCGGCTCACTGCAACCTCCGCCTCCCAAGTTCAAGTGATTCTCCTGCCTCAGCTTCCCAAGTAGCTGGGATTACAGGTGCCCACCATCATGCCCAGCTGATTTTTGTATTTTTGGTAGAGATGGGGTTTTACCATGTTGGCCAGGCTGGTCTCAAACTCCTGACCTTAGGTGACCTGTCCGCCTCGGCCTCCCAAAGTGATGGGATTATAGGCATGAGCAATTGTGCCCGACCTCTATTTGTTCTTTTAAATCTATTTTGCCCTGAAATCTATGTCTTCTGATTATCAATAGTGCTTACCAGTTTTATTTTTGTTGGTATTTATTTCATTCAACCTCAGCTCTACAAGTTATCAGTATAAAAATTTGGACCAGTTAATCTTGCAGTTTCTTCCTTTTAAAAATGGAATATTATCTGTCATTATAAAATGCTTAGTTAACAAATATGAACCAATACCCACAATGTGCCAGGCACCATTCTAGGGAATAGAGTGTAAGGCACCATTCTAGGGAATAGAGTGTAAGTAAGTTCAAGTTCTTAACCTGAATAAGTTTATGTTTTAGTGAGAGAGACAGACAATAAATCAGTAACATGTCTATTATGGCTGATAGTTTTAATTGTCACAAAAAAGGGGGAGCAATTGGATAGTGACGGAAGTGACACTCTAGAGACGGTGGTAAGTTTGCATCCGTTCAACACATAATGAGTGCCTATCGGCAACTCCAAGCTGCTTTCTCTACGTGGGAAAATGCATGGGTCACTGAACACCACAAACAGTAGTTAGTATTGCCCCAGAGAAGAAGCTGCAAATGCAGTGGAAAGCAAGGGTCAGATCAGAGCACCTTGTATGCCATGCTCAAAGGCATGTACTTTGATCTATAGAGAATGGAAACCACGGAAGGCTTTTGAGCAAAGAAGTGACAAAACTCTGATTTACATCTGTTTTGAGTTCCCACTCAGTTCGGACCACGCCCCAGATTCAATAAGGAAGACAGAAAAAATGCCTCGAGAATCTGCATAGGCCAAACACAACATACCAAACACTGTCACACGCGATCCTACTAGATATTTACAACAACTTGCTGAGATAGCCGGGTAGAACTCACTACCACACAGTTAAAAAGCAAGCTTGGAAATAGTCACGTGACCAACGGGCAGCGCCCAGGCCCGGCGCCCCAGGTCTCCCAGACACCACCCCAGGCCTCCGCACCCTCCGGCGCAGACGCGCTCACCTCTGCAAGTTCTCGATCTCAGCCGGGATGCTCTGCAGCTGGTTGCCGCCCAAGCTCAGGGTCTGAAGCGCGCGCAGCTCTAGGAGCGAAGCAGGAACCTCCTGGAAACAGTTGCCGCTGAGATTGAGCACCTGGAGGCTGCGGCAGAGCGGCGACTGGGCCAGGCCCTTGGGCAGTGCACTGGGCCCGCCGAGCCGGTTGTTCTTGGCCAGGAGCGTGCGCAAGCCGCGCAGAGCGAGCAGTTCCGGCCCAAGCACGGTCAACGCGTTGCCGCTCACGTCTAACAGCTGGAGGTGCGGGAAGCCGCTGCCCAGCGCCCGCGGCAGCGATACAAGACGGTTGTGAGGCAGCAGCAGCCGTAGCAGCGCCTCCCGCGCGCCGCGCCTCTCCTCGCCCCGCGCCTCCAGCTCAGACTCTAGCGTCTCAGGGGACACGCTGAGGCGGGACCAGTTCAGCTCGGCCTCCCCGGCCGTGACCACCGCCGCCCCGGCCTCCTCCATCCTGGCCACCGCAAGGCGCGTGGCGCTGGATTCTCCAGAGCGCCACGCGCAGTCCACAGGCCGGGACCTCCGCGGCGCCCCGGAACCTGATCCTAGGGGCTGAGTCGGAAGTGGCGCGGGCGGGCGCGCGCTAACTCTGTGCCCTTCGGCCTAGTTACGCGACGCGAGGCCTTAGGGTGCGCGCGCCGCTCCGGAGGTGGCTCCGCCTCACGAGGCGCACTGCGCAGAGGGTTGGAGCAACGTGTGGACTGCGTAGAGCTGAGGCAGATCCAGACGCTGCCAAATTGTCATCTGAGCCCGGCTGGGTTTCGGCGGCCGCGCTTTATAGTCGCTGGAGCCTGTTGACCTGTTCCAGGGCTCCAAGACCGCCTCGGTAAACAGCCCAAGGACTGTTCGGTTATCTGGCCTTGAGGCTTCGCGCGTCACGTGCGCCGCCCACTTGTTTTCAGTTTAAAAGTGGGGCCCCTGTCTCCAGGTCTCTGAGCACACAGGAATTTAGTAGTGATTTGTCTCCGTGACAGAAAACCCCAGGAATTTAAAGTCCAAGGATTAACAAAGCCAACTTCTAAGTGGGAAAGCAGCTGGACTAGACATCAGAACCCCCGGATCTTTCATGGGGTTTCCGCTGTTAAATAGCCTAGGTCAGGGATTTGATTTCAGTTGCCCCATGCATAAAATATGGGTAATACCTGCGCTACTTGCCCCACAGGATTGTTATCTTTTTCTTTTTTAAAGTGTAAATATATATCAAGGACGTTTTACCCGTTTTAATTATAGAAGCACATACGTGGTTTTTGGTCTAAGTTGTGTCTAGGAGTGAATTTTGGAGTCATGGAGGCGGTTCCATGATTTGAGATAGCTCAAATTAATGGATTAGTTTAAAAATCAGCGTTGAGTTTGTATTGCAGGTCAAAACAACAGCTTGGGAAAATCCTAATCTGGTACTAATTTAGTAATTCTAATTAACATGTTTTTCATCCTTGTCCCAAACTCAACCTTTTCTGAAATTACATTTTATGACTTTGAAAAGTCGTATAATCGAAATGAGAAAAAAATGCTTAGCTGTTTTTTTCCACAAAGATTATGCATAAGAAAGTTACATGGTTGTGTATAATCAATGACATTGAATTGCCTTCCTCCTTAAAAAAAGAGGAAAGTCTTTTTTTTCTTGCCAGTCGTTTGTATGAGAAATCATGCCTCTTACTCTGCAGTTAAACTTTAATTTCTGATTGAGTTGTAGTCATAGAAGGACGCACTTTGTATGTTTAACCCAATGATGGAATGTTTTTTAAAACTGGTGAGTCATCTGTTTTGAAGGAGTCCTTTTAAGAACAGACTTTATTTGGGTCAAACCAGCATTCTGACAGTAGTCCTAATATGTGAAAATTGCAAATATTTGAAATAATAGTTTATTTTGCTTTAAAATCTTTGGGATTTTAAAAAGTGATAGGAATGTAATATAAAATGGGAAAAAGAAATGATTCAAACATAATTCAGAAATAAGAGTTGGCCGTGTGCCATGGCTCAGTAAGCCCAGTACTTTGGCCCAGGCAGCAGATCACTGAGGTCAGGAATTCCAGACCAGCCTGGCCAACATGGGGAAACCCCATCTCTACAAAAAATACAAAAATTAGCCGGGCATAGTGTCGCTTGCCTGTGGTCCCAACTCCTCCACAGGCTACTGGGAGGATTGCTTCAGCCTAAGAGGTAGAGGTTATGGAGGGCCATGATTGTGCCACCACCCTGCAGTTTTTATTTTTTTTTTTTTTTGCTAAAGAAAAGTAAGAGGTAAGATTACAAGTCAGTGGAATTAAAGGGAAAAAAATAACCTCAATAATAGCAAACAAGGAGGCTTCCTAGTAGAAAGTTTGGAAAAAATACTTAGGATGGGAAATATATGTAGAATAAAGGAAAGAAAGTAGAAAAAAAGTGGTGTAGGTAAAGAAATGGGTAACCTGACTAATTTTGAAAACCTGCTTGCAAAGCTGTACTAAGAGCTATTTTAATTTCATAAAGCCTCCAACTACTTGGTTGTTACATTTAGGATAAATGTAATCAGACAATCGAGCAGCTAAGATAACTGAGAAACTGCTTTCTAAAAGTTGAAAATTGTGTTTCTGGCTTTTTGAAGCTATTAGCAACGAAACTGTAAATTTCAGTGTAAAATGCGTATCTCATGTCCAAGTAGTTTAGGTTCCTACTTATATAGAATGGCTATCTTTATTCATTTTTGGATTCTCCTTCACACCACCACCATCCCCATTGCCTAGCATGATTTCTTGCAAATAATTTGGATTGACAGAATTGGATATATCTCTTAGTTAGTGGACTTATTTTTTGAATAATTGGATTAAATTGTAAAGTCCTTGAAAAGAATTATCTTATTTATTATTACATACCCATCCCCTAACAGTACCTGGTCCATAGTAGTTTCGGATACTTTAAGTCTTTTGAAACACTGAATATATTTGTAAATATTATGTTTTAGTTGAAAAGGAACTTTTATTTATCAAACACCTACTTTTATCACAAACCTTAAAAAATGTAATTCTACTTATCACCACATTTATAAAAGAATGTTTATCCTCATTTTAGAAAGGAGGGAACTCAAGCTCAAAAATGACAGTAAAGTCTGCTATCACACAGAGTGAAAGGCTAATTAGAAATTCAGCCTTGCAGGGCGCGGTGGCTCAAGCCTGTAATCCCAGCACTTTGGGAGGCCGAGGCGGGTGGATCACAAGGTCAAGAGATCGAGACCATCCTGGTCAACATGGTGAAACCCCGTCTCTACTAAAAATACAAAAAATTAGCTGGGCATTGTGGTGTGTGCCTGTAATCCCAGCTACTCAGGAGGCTGAGGCAGGAGAATTGCCTGAACCCAGGAGGCGGAGGTTGTGGTGAGCCGAGATCGCGCCATTGCACTCCAGCCTGGGTAACATGAGTGAAACTCCGTCTCAAAAAAAAAAAAAAGAAAAGAAATTCAGCCTTAGGGCTATGTGACTCCAAAGTCCATGTTCTTTCCATTACACCACACTGCTCTCTTGAGCTTAGTTTAGTGTTATTTTTAATGATTTAAAGCAATAAGATCTTGCAAATAGTGTCAGTATTACAAGTGGCATTTATTCATTGATGGTACTTTGTAATATTGAGATTGTTGGAATTATATGGCATCTGTCTTAAGGATTGGGGGTTTTGTGGGCTTCACACACAAAACTGGAGCAAAGCACTTAGATGAGAGGCAGCTGAACCAAACAAAATTTGGGGTGCCATCCTTGTATCATATGACCCTGCTCCAGAAGCTCTGTTGATTAGAACCATAGTGGATGGCTGACCAAGGTAAGCCCATCAACAAACTGCCTGGTGGCCTATTTTATAAGGCACTGCCCAAACAGAAGCAGAGATGGTTTTTCCCCCGTCACTCTTCCAGGAATTTAATCCAAAGAACCCAGAGGGAAATTGCAGTTGGTGGCAGATCAGAAAGAAATCACAGTTGGATCAGAAAGAGGCAGACATGGGGAGTGTTGCTAATTTTTTGTCAATTGTGGAACATAAGTTTAAAAATTCATAAAATATTCCTGCTGAAATCTAGAACTGCCTTATATCCAGAGTAACACACCAGGTGCAGTTTCACTGAGGCCAGCTTTGTTAACAGTTGGATTAATGTGAGGATCTCCTTACTGCTCATTATAATAACCCTTCTCTATCTTAGGTAACATGAATGTATCTCTTTTCACTACAGCCAGATTGGTTTAAACGAAGCAGCATTCCCCAATCTACAGTGGGATTGGGCAGTGCATTATAAGTGATATGCCACCAGCCAGTCTGTTGATGGGCTTACCTTGAAACCATCCAGTCAGCCTGCAGAATACTGAAAACCTTCTGGAAGGTGGTAAGAGCTATGGGGGCTTGTGGGCCCCCACAGTGATGGGGTTCATCTGTAGCTAGCTGAAAGAGATGCCTGAAAGGGAAGTGGGGGCACTGGAGAAGGTAAAGGACAGAGGAGACAACAGAATACATTACCTAGGGAAAGGAACATGGGTTACAGGGAACTTGGGAAAGTACATAGCCTGTTTGTCCACTTATCAGAACTTCATTATGTCATGCTTGGTCAAATTGAATACATTTCAGGATGAGTATCTTGATTAGAATAGTTTTGAAAAAACTTAGGAGATCAAATGAATTGTCCTCCTCCTTCAGCTACCCTGTCTAGGCTTCCTGAAGGCAGGAACCTTATCTGTTTACCATGGTATCCCCCTGAGACATTATAGGCAGCAAATAGTGAGTGAATGAAATAAATGCATGAATAGCTTTTGACATACCTGACTTAGATAAGTCCTATTGACTTACTGACTGCAGAAAAACCAAGAAATTGTCCAAGTGAAGAATCCTTTCATAAGCCATTCTAGTTAGGAAGCAGTATACTGATACAGTTAAAAGAGTGGGCTTTGGTTTTTATCAGATATAGGTTTCCAAACCCACCTCTGGAAATCAGATTTCTTTTACTTAATCTTGATTTTGTTACTTAATTTCTGTAAGACTTGATTTCACCATCTGTATTATGAAGTATATTATCTGTTTCATAGGGTCATTGGAAGGTATAACTCTAAATGCTTAGCAAAGTATCTAGCACAAAGTCAATATTCTGTAAGTGGTGGCAATTATTATTATTAGCTGTAATAGTAGTTATTGTTATAACTATTACTCTCTGCCACTTGTTAGATCATGATCAGGGTAGAAAAACCAAGTTGAGAACAGTTTTTACTCATGATTTCACAATTTTTTACATAAATCGTCCTCTGCTCTGAGCTGTTCCATGTCTTAGGGATTAGGATTTGTGAGATTGATCTGAACTTTCTTGCCCAAGATTTATGCTTGTTGTATTTTTTGTCTTCAAGGTCTATCAGGACCTCATGCCTCCTGAACTCACTCCTACCTCTATTCTAGTCACCTCTGATTCAGACAGTCCTTTCTAATGCACTGCTTTCATGATTTCAGTCCATCTCTTTTTCCTCCTGCCTTTACTTCATGTTTCCTCATTGCTTATAAGATGAAGGCCAGTTGCTTAGACTAGCATGCAAGGTGTTGATTTATTTCCACTGCTAAATTCCTCTCAGTTTGGCTTATCCATATTGGCCTAGGGTGGTTTAAAGTTCTGCCATCTTTCTGCAAATTGTAGTCCAAATCTCAAAAAAACCAGTTACTCTGTATTTAGGGCAGCATTGAAGGTAGAGGGAGCTGCAGTCTTTCAATCCATCCTGAGGAGGAATTGGCTTCTATATTTACAGGGGCCAAGGGTAAGTCTTCAGCCAGTTTTGTCATATAAG